AACTCAATGATTATCTTAATTATATTTTAGATTTTTTATATTTTAACATGAAATGTTTATCCTCTATTTAATTATTTTTATCCGCAGTTAGTTACACAAATTCAATCATGGAGTTTTAATAAGTTGTACTTATGCATAATTTACTTGTAATGTTGAATTTTAAGTAATATACATCAATATACAGTACTTCATACATAAAAAAAATAGTTTTTAAAAGTTTTTATCTAATGCTTTATAATATAGTATAGATAGTTTGTTGAATTTTATTAACTTTTTTCTAATTTAAAAGATAAATAAAAACAAATATGCATTCATAGCTGGTGTGGCGTTGCTTCAAAGTTGTATTTTTCTTGAAAATTGTTACAGATTAAATTATAAGAAATTTTATAAATCGACAGATCTCTCTTGTTATAAATTTCATTCGCCCAGTACATATTGTCCGTCACATTCGGATAATAGGTTTCGCCTTTTGATGAGATATGAACAAGAAACATCGAAAAAATTGGTGTTTTTTATTATTATATGAAGGCAGTAAGCAAACAGCAAATCCATAGGTATTTAAACCCGAGTATCCAGGAGAAAGCATAATTAACAAGTTACATTTTGTTTAACTGTATTGTAAATAAAGTATCTGACTAGACCCATAATCTGAAGGGTCGTGTTGTGAATTAAGTTTCTAAACTGTATAATTTAATTCAAAATACATGGCATGTTAATGATCGATGACACGGACAGGTGGTGGTGGAAGGTAGATAATAACGGTGAGCTCTTAGAGGCTGTTTACCAAAAACTTACCCTGTAAGTGCTTACCGGTAAACTTCAACACTGTTATTTACTTATGGCGTAAGATTTTAGTCCACCAAAACGGTACCGTGTGCAATAATTTACCCCAAAACTCTTGTCCTAGTAAGAGTCGTCACATTCTCTTACCGGATAAGATCTCTTGTTTCCTGTCTCACTCTTACAAGTAGGGGTGCTCAAAAACCTGATGAACCCAACCAACCCAACCCAAATTTAAAAAAAACCCAACCCGAGGTAACCCGATGCATGATCGATAAAAAATTTAGGCAACCCGACCTTATTGGGTTGGAATCGGGTCAGACCCAAAAAACCCGATGAACCCGATGAACCCGACCTTAACTTTAGCTTTGAATTGTATATGACAATCATGACATGACCAACATCAACGTCAAGAAAGGGAAAGCATCGATCGGGGTTGGAAACGTCTAAAACTATTGTTGTTGATTGATGTATTATCATTTGGCTTAAACATTTTTATTGTAATATCTAAATATTTGATGAACTTGCATATTATCTTGAATGGTCGGTCATATTTCAAAGGAAAGTTTTCTTTATTTTTATGTGATTTTACATTGTTTAAACACAACCCGATCAACCCGA